CCCTTTGCCCCCCTTAGCTAAGCCCCCTTCCCCTGGCACTGCCCCCCCCCCCAAAAAAAAATCTGAAGTGGCCCCCCCCCCCCTGTGGAAACTGTCTGAAAAAAACACTAAAAGAGGGTCGAACGACGGGCTAGACCTGTAATTACTTTTTTTTAAATTCATGGCATTATGATTAGTTTTGATTTTACAACGTGCGTGTGTAGTTTGTAAGTGGAGACGTGAGTCACGACGTCAAGGTACATGATTGGAAAGTAAATATTTTCATATTATTGACAAATAAGTTATTGGTATAGTCCAGGGTCACCAAACTTTTTTTCATGTGATTTTCCATAGTTAGTGTTCTTCCACGTAGACACCAAGGTTTCGCACTGTCAAAGCACGAATTGCCTATTTAGCCAAAGCTAAAAGTTCCCTGATTTAATAACCGCGCGTGACTAAATTGGTATTGTATTTCTCCTTAATAAATATAATAGATTTCTTTTTAAATTTATAAAATTAGCTAAAATTAAATTTAAATTTAGCTTTGTATTTTTAAAATTTAATAAGTTTTTACTTTTTATTCATTCCAAAAATATACTTTTATGAAAATTATAACGTAGTAAAAACTTAACCTTTCAATATACTTTTAACAAGAAAATACCGTTTAATTCAATCAGTGCAGCGAAACTACATAGCCAAATAGCCTTCACTAATGAACTTATCGCTCATTCAAATGAGAACAAAGCATATGACTGCAAAAAAAAATTGTTTGCGTAAGTAAGGGGGTGGATGATTGTAATAATTTTTTTCTTTTAAACTCTGGAGGGAGGGGGGGGGGGGGTAATACGATACTTTCATTTTGCCCACAGCTACACGAGATACGCCTCAGAATGAATTTGATAAATAATTAACCTTCCTAGGTACGTAATATATATCTCGGATAGGAAATAGGGTGTGTACATTTTTACGTGGATAGCAATATTTTAAAATCCAATGATATTACAGTTACGAAAAATAGATGCTATATGTTTACCAATTAAGAAAATCAATGACGTTAACAAAACTTAAGTACATTTACATAATTTTACAAATGAATTATAAAACACAATCATTTTACACAAGTGAAAATTTAATTTTCATCATAGAGATGGGTTAAGATTTTCTTAAAGGATAGATAGATAGATAGATAGATAGATAGATAGATAGATAGATAGATAGATAGATAGATAGATAGATAGATAGATA